CGCAGTTTCATGCCGTGCTAAGTCCAGCACTTCGCGGGGAGGCGAGGCAGGTGATCACGAAGGTCGAATTCAACCCACCTGGACACATAGTGATAGACCCCTGTCTCTATTGAAAATACAAAATTACCCGATTGCTGGGCATTGCCTGTAGTGCCCAGGCTACGGAGGCAGCATAGAATGGGCGTGAACGGGGCGAGAGTCGGAGGTCTGCAGTTGAAACAAGCACCGGACGCCATGCACTTCCAGCCCTGTGTGACAGTGCAATCTCCAAAAAAAAAAAAAAGTGTCCCTGTCTAAGAGAAAGGGAGAAGGAGCAGAAGGCATGTGGTATGACTTGCAAATCATTGTGCAATGGGGCGCAGAATTGCCTTCTAACAAAAACTGACTAACCTTCAATGAGAAAGACTCTATTTCGAAAACACTCCAGCCTGGGCAACAGAGCAAGACTCTGTCTCAAAAAAAAAAAAAAAAAGGATTTATGTTCACGTGAACATAAAAGCTTTTGTATTAATTACTGTATTTCTAACAAATTACTTTTTTAAGCACTTAATTATTTTCCTTCAAGCCAATTAAATAGAGATCTTTGTAAATTTAAAATCATATACATAAAATATGTAGACACAAAAAGTAAAAACATAGATGAAAAACAAAAAATTTACAGTTTTTACTTTAAAATTCTAATCATAATACAGCAAAACAGAGTAATATAAACTTGTCAGCTTATAAAAATACAGTTGGATCCAAATTAAATCTCTAATAAAATGGGACAAGTTAGGGTCATGTTCATATGGCTAAACTTGAAAATTTTTATTTGTCCTGAGATGTAATATAATGAAGGTTGTGAACCAAATTTTGGGCAAAGCAGTTTCCATAGCAGTTTGGTTTTAAAAAGTCTTTTTTTGTTTTAAACTTCTCCCCACCTTTTTTCAGTTTCAAATGAATTGTTTTAGTGAACTCTTGGATGTTTATATTTCATTTAGGGGTTGGAGAAAAAATGAAAACCTCCAAGTAGCCTTTAGTAAAAGATTTATCTTAATACAAATGAAAAAATTAGCAGATTCAGAATAAACAACAACAACAAAAGTACATACAGAGGTTAGAAGCCTCTTTATGCATCCAGTGTTTAGACTGCTTAACTCTGTAGTTGAGGTTTTCTGAGAAAAACAAGTTTAGAAAATTCAAATAATTCCCATAATGGCCACAAATTTTCATTGGTATAGTTTGCCCATCAGTTTAAAAATGTGCATGAAAAAGGGCCATCAGTTTTGAACATCTTTCCAGCTGGAGTCCCATCCCAGAGAGTCTGGCATGCCTAGAATTTTGAGAATCCTGTCCCATTTTTTATTAATCTTTTGAAAGCAAAAGAAACCCCTATAAGCCCTGCTGGGAATGTCAGGGGCTTGGACCCGTGTTTTTTTTTTTTTTTACAGCTTAGCCTGGCACAGAATTACTTTTTGTGTATACCTGGGCAGATGCCTTGCCCGAATGTCCAACCTGTGGACCAAGGTTATTCCCTGTGGTGGGCGGGGCGGTGGGTTTGTAGTCCACAGGCGTCGGAAATTTATCTTGAGACTGTGGCAGGGCACGCCCCGTGGTGTGAGTAGTATACATACCTGTTTACTCTTTTAACATGGGAGACTTTTTCTTCAGGACAAGGTCCTCAATAGATGGTGGCAACTACCCTAGGTGGCTTTATTTTTTATATTATTTTTTATTTTTGAGACAGAGTTTCGTTCACATGTTGGCCCATGCTGAAGTGCGATGGCATGATCTTTCTCACTCGAACCTCCGTTCCTGGGGTTCAAGCTATCTCTCCATGTCCT